ACATAAGCCAGAGTCTCCCCAAGCCATTCATCCAAGAATGGCAAACGTGACCTCAAGGGACCCTCATCCAGATCAGATGCTATCTTTATCAGCTAACGGACATGCATGAGCCAGGAAACAAACTTCCAATGAAAATATGCTATATTGTCTTCTGTTTTGCGGAACTGTCTCCGTACGGGTATGTTTGCTGCTAAATAAATTTCATATTCTTTCACTGTGGTATTTTCCCTTCAATATCATCACTGCTCCATTGCAATGCCATGCAAACTAGTGTGAGAAGTTGGGATGATGTGAATGTAGAAGACTCTGTAAGATACATGAGAGAATTCAGGGAACTGAAGGAAAATTAGAGTAGGCCCATGTTTGGCATCAGTCCAAAAAGCTTTGTTGCAGATGACGAGATTGATTGTTTCAATAGGATATGCACACAGCCTGCTGTGAGGACTCTGGGCCATCTAGTACATGGAACTGAAACAAATCAGTCTACTACGAAGGGGGCTAGACTTAACAATTTTCAAGTTGCTTCTACTGGCAGATGTTTCAGAGGTTCTTCAGTGGGAACTGAAATAGTGAAATAGGAAATGACTGGGTGGTACTCTAACTGGTAAGAAAAACTAAGACTAAAACTATAGATTCCAATATCTGTGACAGAAACATGTGGAATAGTAGTGGTGGGGGATGAGGAGAAGGTCCCAAGATGTCCTAGAAAGTCTGCTGACTTTCCAGGCAGAAGACAGATCTCGGCCAATGTTTCAAGTATGAGAAGATGTGAAAATTGAGCTAAGAAATGTTTTAAATTGTCATTGATGGTTATTCCAGTTAGTGTGTGTAGGAATATCACAGACAAGAATCAAGAAGTTTTTAATTGTGGGGAAGTAAGTTTTAACATGAGTGAGTTCCAGTCTGTTTTCACAGACTTTTCTTCTAAAACAGAGCTATAACCTTGAAACTGTGTGTTTTTAGCCAGTAAACTTTATTTTAATGGTGTTGAAAGATATATCCTTAGAAATAATTTCCCATTTGGAACAGATGTTTCCCAAGTGGAAAATTAAAGAGTACTTGAGACATGAAGTTTCCACTGGTAAAAGTATACAAGAAGAAACTCCTTTTTGAAAACTGTTCAAAAGATGGATGAAAATATGTACTATATATATACTGGCCAGGTAAAAATATGTGAATATTTGGGCTGTGTCTGAAAAGTTGTAACATATTTTTCATCATTTCAGTATGATCCACGGTCCCTATATACATGAAGCTGAAATGGTCATGAGACAATTTAACTGAAGTATTAAATAACTGAATAACATATTCAGATATAATTTTGTTGAAGTGGTGGATGACTTTGGTGAATGAAATAAAGGGAGAAAGCCTGGCTTATTTAAGGTTAAAAGTTGGGTTAATGTCCCCTGTTAGGAGACACAGTCCTCCCTGGGTCTCTCATTCACCTACACATCTTGCTGAGTATGCCAAGAATGCAAGGACGTAACCATTCCTTAAGGTTGTTTGCAGCAAGACACCCTGAGGGATGAGGCAATGTTTCTCTTGAGACAAAAAGCAGGCTTGCTTACTTCTGGCTGTAAGATGTTACATTCCCTAAACTCAGAGCTCCTCTTCTGTAACACAACTCATGTCTGTGCAGGTATCCATCTGGGCCTTCTGCAGAACTCCTCAGTGGGACCAGGCAGCAAGGAGGGAATGGATTCAACATGCTATCTGTGCCAAGAGTTATAAACACTTGTCTCAGACCTGGGTTTCTTGAGTCTTCTGCCAGCATCCGTGAAATAATACAGGTAAACCCATTACTTCATAAATAGAGTAAAATCAAATCCAAGGCCCCTGAACCCTTTCTGGTTCAGTTTAAAATCTTCCATTGAGACCATGGCTTCTATGCTGGGGGTAAGGTGTTTGAATGTGAGTACAATGAGTTACAGTGTTTGAATAGGAACCATCTTCAAGTTCCTTCAACAGATTTAGTAGAAAAAAGAACCTATACAACTCAGCTCCTGAATGAAAAAGGAAAACAGACAGAGAGTGAGGGGAAGTCCAAGTTGGCCTGATCTCCTCTCTCCAGGAAAACATAACCCTTCGCCGAATTGACAGTAAAATGGTCTGGAGTAGCATCCCATGGACCCCTCAGCAGTGGTATTTCCTGTTGGAAAGGAGATGCTCATTGTTGCATATATAAAATGATAATCTCTAGTGGCCCCATAGCAGAGAGCAAATCTGAAGCAGTTAAATTTTTTGGAAAGCATGAAATGGGGCCTACCTTGGCAAACATCAGGTAGTTCAAAATAAACTACTGTCCACACCTCCACCCAAGTGTAAACAGGAAGCCCAATGCTTGGTTGACCTGTATGGATTTTGGCAAAACATAGTCCCCTCATAGAAATCTTACTGAGTCCAATCCACCAATAAACCAGGAAGAAAGTGACTTTGGGCTCACCTCTGGGGAGATCACAGAATGAAAAAATAGACAACCATGGGGTATTTTGATCTTTGCAAAAGTTTGGACATTTGGCTTCAAGCTCAAGCTTGTAACATAATAAATTTAAATTCTCTCTTAAGTTTGTTTTATACGAGATCAAAAATTTCTTGGAATGAGCCAAAAACATCTGGAACTTATTTATAAAAGTACTCTAGGATTTCTAAATTTAATATGATATAAAACTACAACTGAAATAGATTACATACAAACATACAATGGCTTGTATGAATTATTTCTTGTGTAATGTAGACAATATTATCGGTTATAGAAATTGTTCCATGTTAACTTTTGGAGCAGTTTTTAACATCTCTGGTAACTCTCGAGATTATTTGGATTGAGTTTTGGTATATTTTCAATTGGCTTTTGGAAAGTTAGACTAATAAAATATTGAATTAATGACTGTGGGATTCTGTTCATATAAAATTCTGAGATAGTGCTTGGTGTTCCCCTGGAGGGAAGTGAGAATTTTGTTTTTCTTTTCAGGTAGTTGGGGTGTCAGTGAGATTGACAAGGGGGTAGTCTGGACTTGCATACTCAGAAATCAACTCCAGATGTTTAGGCAAAGGGTAAAAAAGAGAAACACATGCTTTAATAGGGCAATATATAGCATGGCACATTGAAATCCATTTTACAGGGCAAATTAATAAGTTTTCCTGTAAGGACAAGCTAAAATGAAACTTTTCTTTTACTCTTTCATGAAAGAAGTTCTATACAAGGGCCAATGTGAAACACTATAAAAGACATCTCTAGCATCCCATTTTGGTACCTGATATTTATTCTCCCACTTCTAAGATGACTTTAATTCCCAGTTCTCTTCAGGGACATGTATCTGTCTTAGCTCTATGAACACATATCCTCCAGGCTCTCTATTCTTGGTTATCAGACTAGGTAAAGCTCTTTTGATGTAAAATCCATGAAAAAAATCTAGTTTCTTTGAGGGTTAAAGAATTCATATATTTTTAAGGAAGCTGTTCCAGAGTTTCATGGCATCTTTTGTAGATTCTAGTTTCCTGGACTCTGGGACATTGTTAGATTCTGATTTCCTCCAGTCTATGTTTAAAGCACAAACCTGAATTTCACTGTGTTTTTAGTACGTTTATCAGGAAGAGGAAGAAGCAACACAGGGTAGGTCAGAGAGAAAGTGGCTCTGCTCCAAGCAAAAGCAGAATTTCCACCTCCTGTAAATTCCACTGAGACCTCCCTAACACTGAGAAACAAATTTCATGATTTAGACCCAGACAACCATCTTAGTTTAAGGAACTTCCCTTTAGGAAAATGTTTTCATTCTTTCACATAAGAATACATTTTGTGGGAAAATAGGGAACAAGGATTACCTTTACTGAAAAATAATAAAGGAAAAATAATAAATTATTTTCTAAGTACCATACACTAGGCATATCAAGAAATAGGTAGCAAAGAATCAGGGAAAGCTTGAGAATAACAGAAAAATTAAAAGACCAGAAAACATACACATAAAAGGAGCTGAGGAGAAAAAGTCCGAGTTAAAGCAGAAAAAAAAGTGCTCTAAGAATTTTTCAAAATTATAAAGTACTTTAAAGACAAAGTACTTAAGGGCAGATGAAGAACCTCCTATAATAATCATGAGAATCTGAATAATAAACTGAAATAATCCCCTTGGTACACTGTAAAATATGCAATTTTAATTATGTGATTTTTCTAGCTAATTTCTGCTTCAAAAACAGTAAAGTACTTCTGCTTACAAGGTGGCAGAGACGAGAACTTTTCTGAACCTCTCATATGCACGTTGTCATCAAAATTTAAATTAGCAGAAACATGCCTTTGAGTTAAATCACAATTAGCCCCTAGACAGACCTATTTACTGAGAATCCACTATGTGCCCAACACTGGCAGCATATGCTAAACAACAGTTTGCATTTGTAAAGCACTTTTTCCTTTCAAGTTCTCACAAATGACATTTTAAAACGAACTATATTTGTCTTTCAGCATTAACTGCACATGCTAAATACATCCCTTATTATAAATTGCTCCTACTCAGGAGACTGAGTTTTAAAAGACAAAATATATCCAGTTGTATTTGTGCACATATATTTTACATAGTTATGTAAGGAAGTCAATCAACAATGATAAATACAAACAGATTGTCTAACAAAATAAAACAATTTTCAGGGAACAGAAATGACACATTTGTCAGAAGATGTCCACAAATAATTAATTACTTTAGCACAATAAGATATTCTCTTAATACCAGAGTTTCTTACAAGAGGATAGTCATTACTTTCTAACCATCTGTCATCATTACTCCCCCAAAAACTAATTAGGGTTTCCTCCAATCACACGTTATAAATCATGCAAATGTGGATGGCAAAAAAACACAGTTTAAAGAAGTTAACATTATAACATTTTATAGTTTAAAAATCACAGGCTTCAGAACTAGCCTTTCATGTTCTAATAATTCCCCTGCTTATTTTTCTTATCTTTTCCTAGTTGGTTATTACATATTAAACTTACAAAATTAAAATTTTAAAAAACTTACAGGTAGTAGAGCTTTCCTGCAGCAGGAAGTTCTCTCTTCCGATAATCTATCCCAGAATCTAGCTGGACTGTATTACAGTATTCCTACAATCCAAACACATAAAATATATTTTAAAACAAATGATGGCTTAAAATTATAATTTTTCTGCTATCCTTTTTTTTTAATTTTTGAAATTTTCCTGAATAAAATAATGAGTTTAGGACAAAACAACAGAACTCATGTAAGAATCACAACCTTTGCAATATTAAACATGTAACAAGCCAAGAAATATCAGTTTCATAAAATTAAGATTTGCAGCATGCCCTCCTGAAGCTGTTAAAACAGTGTTGTCAGCAAATTCCCTAAATAACCACAGTAGATTTTTTTTTTCAATCCCAATTTCCATTACTCTGAAGTAAGAAGCTGGAGGCTACCAAAAAGAATAACTCATGGGTCTTAAGCATCACAACGGGAGACAGACAGTCTAGGAAAGCTGCATAAGAACATTATCATCCACATTTTAAACCAAATGATCATACTAAAGTGATGCTATAGGTATTCCTGCCCTTCACATCTAAATGACTGCCACTGCCCTTGCCCCTTAGTTCCCTCTCCAGACTTCAATGGCTTCAGAGTTCTTTCCAGTTGTGGATGCCTGGCTTCAATCTGAATTATCCTGTACCACTGCTGTCCTTTTCTCCTCCTAATTACTCTTTCCTTTCCATCCTCCTGGGTGCATGTGTGCATGGAAACTCACACACACACACACACACACACACACACACACCTTAAAACTCTTACTATGAAAACAAATGAATTTTTGTTACACCTATCTTGGTCAGTTGGCTTTTTGGGGATACACATGCACGCACGTGCGCACACACACACACATATAAACATACTTACTCCAGTAGAATAATGGTGAGCAGTTTTCAGAACAATTCAAGAAACATTTATAGGCTGGTGTTTCATTTCATTTGAAATAAAAATTGCACTATGAAAATCCATGAAGAAAAAAATTGTATTTTAATAACTTAACTACTTTCACTAATGAAAAACTGCATTTAGAGGCTAAGGTAATTACGGCAGATTATATTTTCCAAAGACAGCAATAAGCTCTCCATCCCAACACATTGTGATGTTGACCTTCCAACCATCAAGAAGTGGGGTCTCTGCTCCCCCCTTGAATCTTGTGACTATGGTGAAAATGATGCTATGCAATAATATCTGATATGCCACCTGAGTCAGTTTGTTGGCTGGAATACTCGCTCTGGAACCCAGGTAAGCATCACCTACACAGAGATAATCAAGCCACAGGAGAGCTTAAAGTAGCCCATACAGATGGGCTTGAGATGACATGAAGACAGAGGTGTCTGACCAGTTCCCAGCTATTCCAGTTGTGGCCATTATCATAGTGAGGGAGCCAGACTGCCAGCTGAGCTTTTCTCAAATCCCAGAACCACAGAAACCAAAAGGGATAATGAAATAATGTTCTTTTAAGCCTCCAAATGTTGCAGTCATTTGTTCCATAGCAACTGATGATCAGACAAGCAATAACTGGGCACACCTGAGATGTAGCAACATTCTTCCTTCCTGAAACTGCATCCTAGGTTGCACTGCTATGCAAAGGCTGTTCTGTTACCTGTACTACAAGGAACAGATTGTACACAGTGGCTGTGAGAATGTATTTCCCCTCCTCCCATGCTACAGCTGCTAAGAGGCGAAGGGAAGTAACACAGGGTGATCAACCATCCCTCTGGGACTGAGAGGTTTTTCTGGAAGCAGCACTTTCAGTGCTAATACCACAAGAGTTCTGGGCACACTGGGATAACTGGTCACCCTAGGAGTAAAGACCCAGAACTCTGGGCTAGAAAGCTGGAAGAGCTATATAGCCTTCTAATTTATGTATCAGCAATTGTGAATTAGGTTAGAATAAAACAATCCCCAAGAAGAAGCTGGTCCTCTGGGGAAGCCTACAAACCTAAGCTTTTGAACAACACATTTGAAGAACCACCCTTGAATCTAACAGTCACACCACCGTACAGTGCTGAACATAAGCAGTCAGTGGTCTCCCACCCAGGCACCCCTAGCTCATCATTCCAAGGCACTCAAACCCCATCTCCAGGCCTCGCCCTCAGGACTCAGGCCCTGTAACCCATCTCACCAGAGAGGAATACAGCATTGCCCAAATAAGGCATTCCACTCTCCCCTTGCCTCAGATCACCTATTTTTAAAAAGGAATAGCCACATCTCTCTCTTCTTCTCAACTTTGAGTAATGTAGTAAACCTGGGAAAAGAGATATTTCCTCCCTGTTGCCCCTGCTGTAATTGTGGGGCTCAGTCACCCAGTACAAAGAAAAAGGAGATGCACTTGTTGAGGTAGTACTTTCTACTCTCCTTCTCTGAGGGAAATCTGTCCTGGTTTGGTAAGGGCCAATTATTCATAAGCTACTGACAATATACTACAGACAATATACTACACAGTAGAGCAACATATTCATATAAGTATATCTCCCCAGGTTCTCTATTTCTTTTAAACTACAATTTATCTTATATGACTCAATATTTCTAATTTAGTCAAAAATTCTTCTTTTTTTTTTGCTATTAAAAAAATAAGGCTAATGGAAGTTATACAAGCTTCAATTTCTCCTTCTGGGTAACTAACTTCTCTCATATGAATGATTAAGCCCTACCAAATGATTGCATTTGTACATTCACTAATCACCACTGAGGAATACCTAATCAGCAGCATAAGAACTATAACCAAAGCCCTTAGATGTTAGCTCTTAATTGTCTGAAAAACACTAACACTCAGTTTATATTTTTAAAGAAAAATAAACCTCAAAATTTCTGATTTTATTCACTTAAGCTAGATAATTCAAACCACTTTGCAGAAGGGTGGAGGAGGGTGAAAGCTAAGCTATTTCCAAGTTGAGAATGAATCTAGTCAAAAGGGCATGATCTCTAAGTAATTTCCTAATTTCCAAGGATATTTACAAGACCTGTGACCTCTTATCACCATCCAATTCAAATGCATAAAACTAATCAGCCACCAAATGGAATTTATTCTAAAATAGTTTGTATATTTATGTATACAAAGGACAAATACAATTACACAAGCTAAAAACGCAATTAGGAAATTTGAGGAGGAAAAGGAGGGAGACTAACACACCCTTGGGAGCATACTCATAAGTCAAAGGCCTTTGACTTTGGAAAGAAAAATATACCGCTAAGAGAACCGTATTCCAGTAGTTTACATTTTCCTCAAGATCTATTGTGTATATTTTTAGCTATTCTGAATAATACCATTAGAATAATAGCACCTCACAAAATAACTTATTATAGTGTCCAGTCTGGCTTTTCCCTTCCTAGTTGGAACAAAAGAACAATAAATAGTGTGGAGAAAAATCCTTTACAAGTACAACATATTAACCTCATAAGCAAAGATTGAAATAATAAAGATTTTCCTCACCTAAATATTTTTTTAAATTGAAGTATAGCCAGTTTACAATGTTGTGTCAATTTCTGGTGTAGAGCATAATGTTTCAGTCATACACATACATATATATTCTTTTTCATTATAGGCTACAAGATAATTGAATATAGTTTCCTACGCTATACAGTAGAAAATTGTTGTTTATGTATTTTATATATTGTAGCTAGTATCTGCAAATCTTGAACTGCCAGTTTATCCCTTCCCACAGCCTTCTCCTCCTTTGGTAAACATGAATTTGTTTTCTATGTCTGTGAGACTGTTTCTGTCTTGTAAATAAGTTCCTTTGCCTTTTTTTTTCTTCCTTAGATTCCACATATAAGTGATATCATATAGTATTTTTTTCTTCTCTTTCTGGCTTACTTCACTTAGAATGATAATCTCCAGGTCCACCCATGTTGCTGCAAATGGCATTATTTTACTCTTTTTTATCATTGGTTAGTATTCCATTATATAAATATACCACAACTTCTTTATCCAGTCATCTGTTGATGGACATTTAGGGTGTCTCCATGTCTTGGCTATTGTAAATAGTGCTGCTATGAACTTTGGGGTGCAGGTATCTTTTCAAATTAGAACTCCCTCCAGATACATGCCCAGGAGTGGGATTGCTAGATCATATGGTGAGTCTATTTTTAGTTTTTTGAGAAACCTGTTTTTTCCAAAATGGCTGCACCAAAATACATTCCTACCAACAGTGTAGGAGGGCTCCTTTTCCTCCTTACCCTCTCCAGCATTTATTGTTTGTGGACTTTTTAATGATGGCCATTCTGACTGATGTAAGGTGATACATTATAGTTTTAATTTGCATTTCTCTGATAATTAGTGATATTGAGCATTTTATCACGTGCCTATTGGCCATTTGTGTATCTTCACTAAAGAACTGCTTGTTTAGATCTTTTGCATTTTTGGATTGGGTTTTGCTGATGTTGTTATTAAGCTGTATGAGCTGCTTATATACATAAGCTGTTATAATTAAGCCCTTGTCAGTCACATTATTTGCAAATATTCTCTCCCATTCTGTAGGCTGTCTTTTTGTTTTGCTTATGGTTTCCTTCACTGTGCAAAAGCATGTAAGTTTACCTAGGTCACATTTGTTTATTTTTGCTTTTATTTCTATTGCGTAGGTAGACTGCCCTAGGAGAACACTGCTAAGATTTACATCAGAAAGTGTTTTGTCTGTGTTTTCTTCTATGAAGTTTATAGTGTCTTGTCTTATGTTTAAGTCTTTGAGCCATTTTGAGTTTATTTTTGCATATGGTGTAAGGGAGTGTTCTAATTTCACTGATTTATATGCGGCTGTCCAGCTTTCCCAGCACCACTTGTTGATGAGACTGTCTTTTCTCCATTGTATATTCTTACCTCCTTTGTTGAAGATTAAGTGAACATAAGTGTGGGGGTTTATTTCTGGGCTCTCTATTCTGTTCCATTGATTCATATGTCTGTTTTTTGTGCCAATACCACATTGCTTTGATTACTATAGCTTTGTAGTATTGTCTGAAGTCTGGGAGGGTTATTCCTCCAGCTTCATTCTTTTTCTTTAGTGATACTATGGCAATTCTGGGTCTTTTGTGATTCCATACAAATTTTAGGATTATTTGTTCTAATTCT